TGTGAGTCAAAGGGCCAAGGTTCAGACTGCATGAGCCTCAGTGGCCTTACTGTGGCCTTACGGTCTTTCAAACCTGTTAGCCTGGTCCTGACATCCACCCAGCATCATGTCTTGCACAGAGTATGGGGTTCAGTAATTAGTACCTTGAGCTGGGAGGCAGAAGCAGCTGGGAAGCTGTTAACCCTCTGCTTTGCTCTCTAGTGGAAGCTCAGCCCCCCACGCCTGTCTCCAATGTGCAAAAGCGTATTTGCAACTCAAGCTAATGAGTGAAGCTATGTAAACCCCTATGGCCAAAGACCGCTTATTCAGAGAAACTGAAGCACAGGCAAGGGGAACCATGCACCACACTCAAAACCTGCAACTCCACTTCTCAGTCCCTGACCCAAACCATTAATACATTTGCCACTGCAGGAGCTCCTCCTGGCTTTTTTGGTCAAGCCCCTGGATAACAGCATTACGCCATTTTTCTCTATCCCTTACTAGCTTCTCAAGATGCTAACACTAATCTGGAATGGGGATAACTGTCTCTCAAATCTGACAACCACTTATCCATTCAATAACTCTTTATTGAGGTCTTACTATGTGCCAAGAACCCCTGTGAGCAAACATCAATGAACATAATAAAGTGCCCTGCCCTTTGGAACTTAAATTTCAGTGTAAGCATAGGAACTTCATAAATTGCATAGCTGTTAGACAAGTGGTATGTGCTATGAGAAAAAGGAAATTGAACACAGGGTAGAGGAGATCAGGAAGGTCAGGGTGGGATGAGGGGGCGACAGGGACGCCACACTAAGGTTAAACTGAAGCAGACATGAGGGAGGAATGAGCCATGTCCTATCTGGGAAAGAACATTCCAGGCTGAGGCAATAGCCAGAGCAAAGGCCCCAGCAGGAGAGCATCCTGGTGAGTTTAAGGAACTGCATGAAGGCCAGTAGGTCATTCATTCACTTACCAAGCACTTACTTAAGATCCAGCTCCTTGCCAGATACCAGTGGTGACTATGCTAGTAAGGCATGATGTCTATTCTCAAGTATCTTGCAATGCCAAGGGCAAGGAGATAAAATGACCTCAGAAGAGGATTATACCCAGAGCAGGGAGATTCTGGTAGAGGTCAGGGCCCTCACCGACTTGGAGGCACTGACTAGCCCACTGAAGTGCAGTAAGGACCCTTAGGGACATGCTGCCTACATGTGGAGGCACTCCAGCTTGGATTTTCACGCTGCTGACAATGCTGGCTGTGCCAACCTTGATTCCTGGATTTTCTTTGCTAAGAAAGCTTTCCAAACATAGATTTGTCAAGAAAATCTTTTAAATTGCAGATGTACACTCCATGCTTGCAGTGTCCGAGACAGCCTTAAACTAAAAAGGTAAATGCCCAGTGGAAAGATCTGGGAAAGGCAACAGTGGAGCCCAGGGTGGCACTGAGTTGAGTTTGGGAACTGGGAAGCAAGGACGTAAACTCCAGGGAGTGTTCATTAGGGGTGGCCATCATATCCCCATCTCCCAGCTTTTCATGGGCAGGGGATGCAAATTACCAGCACCACCTCCTCCGGAGCTGGGGCTCAGGCCACCAGCCTCTACTAAGGAGAGCCCAGTGAACTAAAACGTGCATCCAGAGAGTTCCACTTAGGCCTGAGAGATGCTAGCTGTTTTACCAGCTTCATGAAGCAGTACTTTTTTTTACAAGATGAATCCAAAGATGGCCTTGACAAGACCCAGGAAGCTCCCATCCTAGGAAGGGTTCAGTACTGCTGATCAGGGGCTGGAAGCTTGGCCAAGCCAATCCATACCAGATGGATCTAGATCTGGGCTGAATGATGCCGCCATGCTTGTTGGGCATGTCACCAGCAACAGTCCCAAAGATCACAGGCGTGGTGAGGAGGAAGCCACCATGGTGGGCCCTAAACCAGGTTCCTGACCAAGCAACATGGGAGAAGTCCTCAGGGCCAAGAAGCTGTAGCATCAGGATGGGGCACAAATCCTCACTGCTCTTCCATCCCAGGCTCAGATACCTGGGGGAAACCTGGGCCTGCACCCCCAGAGCTCCGGCCAGGTTGTGGTAGCTACCAGGTATCTACATTCCCCCAGTCCCTCTGTAGTGAGGCTGCCTTACCTGGCTGTCTCCTGCTTGGAACTGTATTACTCAAGTCTTCTTCAGCCTGGTTGTAAAGATTCAGTCTGTCAAGCTGAGAAAGGGAGGGTACCAATCTCCCACCCTGGTCCTGACCCACACCCACCCTGGTCCTGACCCACACCTGGCAAGGTCAGCTCCTTCCTATCTGACTCCATCACCCTCTGATCCAGCCAATAGTCTCTTCTCCATGCTCTTTCCAGAAAAGATGGGGGCTTGCTCACAGGTAGGGTGCAGAAGTTGCTCCTAGCCTGGGTGCTCCTAGCTCAGCCAGCCAGGCAATAGCCAGCAGGAGCTCTGCTTTAGAGAAATGAAGCAAATCCCAGGTTTAGGAGGAGCTCTCTCCCCGCCCCCATTCCTTCATAAAGCACTTTCCTTTCTGCCTCCTCACTCCCTTTGGCCTAGGAGGGGTTTACTCCATAATTGGTTTGTTTACTGCCATCAGAGTGGCAGAGGTGGGAGGAAAGTTTTGTTGGAAGGCAAGGGGTGTGTGCCCTGAGCTCTGAGGCTGGTGAGTAAACCCTCCAAGAGCCTGCCTCAGTAACCACCTGAGCACTGGCCACAAACCCACGTGAGAACAAAACAGGGCAATGCAAGGCCAGCTGAAGATTCCCAGCAGACCACAGGAGGGAAGCTTATGTCTGGCGCCTGGGAAAGACCGAACAATAACCCCAACTTAATCTGCTCATTTCTGCCTAAGGGTCAAAAGCATTCCTCAGCACTGTTCTGACTGGGGAGCCAACCAGAGAACCTCCCAATCTGGGGTCTGGTGAGGAGCGCCAGGAACATCATTCCCCTCATCAAAACCCTCGGCAGCTCTAAGCTCCAAGCACATTTACCATCCTGACCCTCAGGCTCTTGAGGAGGCTCCAGATGATTCAGCCACTCCCCGGCTGACCACAGGTCAGCACCGCCTATACCCAGCTGGACAGGACCACCTGCCAGGCCATAAGTACATCCTTTGCTCCCTCGGTCCAGTTCTCTGCAGTTCTCTGCCTAAGGGGCTCCCTCTGCCTTATGTTTAAAGGCTCTCCTCTACTGCTCCCCACCGCCCCGTGACAGTTTTCCCAGTTCCACAGCCCCTTCTCCCTCCACCCCAATTAGGTGTGCCACCCATCTCTAACCTCCAGGCCCTGATGCAATCCTCTTTTAAGGAATCTACCATACCTGGTCCTGCTTCATTACTCCCTAAGGCCTTGCTCTATCCCTCCAAGAGGCAAACATGTCTTACTCTGCTTTGATTCAATGGAAGCACAAAGCACAGAACCCAGCAGACAGCAGACGCTTAACTTTTTGCTGCCCCGAGGAACATTCACCCTCACAGGCACAGGAAGTGATGGGCAAAGGCGCAGAGCCACTCCAACGGAACACTAAGATCAGCGGACACAAAACAGGCAAAGGTAGGAGAGGTACCACAGAGGTTAACTGAGGAGCTGCGCCAAGCTTACCCTTCTTGAACTCCTCCAGCATGGCATCCAACTTGGTGTCATGGAAGACAAAGTGCACTGGGTGGTTGTAGAAGCGGGTGATGGTCTTGAGGGGGGTGCAGTCATCGGGGTCCACGAAGGTCAAATCTTTAACATAGAGAATATCTACAATATTGGAGTGCTCATCTTCAAACACTGGGATGCGGGTATATCCGCTTTCCATAATCTCAGACATTGTGTTGAAGTCCAGGATGGCATCGCTGCGGATCATGAAGCAGTCTTGGAGCTGGGTCATGATATCCTCCACGGTTTTGGTCCGTAGTTCCAGGGCACCCTGGATCATATTTAGCTCCTCTTTCACGAGATCATTATAGGGCTCGGTCACCTTCAACATCTCCATCAGTTTCTCCCGATTGTAAACAGTGTGAATCTCCTGGCCCAGAAAAAAGTCCAGGAGTTTGCTAATGGGGAAACTGAGGGGAAAGGTGAGTAGCATAAAAAATTTGGTGAGAACGATAGTGTTGGCACCCACAGCCAGCCCATGTCGGGAACACAGGGCCTGCGGTACTATCTCCCCAAAGATGACAATGCCAATGGTGGAGGAGACCACGGCCACAATACCGGACCCAATGAGGTTGTCTAGAAGGATGGTGAGGGAGGTGTTAACCAACACGTTTCCCAGAAGCAGCGAGCAGAGCAAATAGTTGCCCTTGACCCGGATGGGCTCGATCTTGCGGGCATAGCGCCTCTCTTTCTGGGTGCCACAGTTCTGCACGATGCGCAGCTCCATGGGGTCTAGGGCCATAAGCCCCAGGTTGAGGCCAGAAAATATGCCCGACAACACCAGCAGCACCAAGATGAGAAGGATGTGCAGCCAGAGGGGCAGGACCCTCACAGTCTCCTCTTTCATGAGGAGCAGCGAGTCCTTGTCCCTCCACCTCTGCCAGGGCCTGTCCACTCCGGCCCGGGTGCACAGTGCATACAGCTTCACGTTCTCGCTCCTCCGGAGGAACTTGGTGAGTACCACCAGCATCCCAGACGTGTTCCCGCGGCTCACGTTGACCAGCTGCTGGACCACCAGGTCCTTGGTGAGCTCGGGGCAGCTGGTGGAGTTGTGGATGGCCTCGGAGTTGTCCAACTCGGTGAAGGAGATCAGGTTGCTGGAGATAGAGCCCAGCCTCTGGCCATACAGCCTCAGGTTCACCGTGCTGCCCTCGGACACGAAGATGATGCCATCCGAGCCCATCCCGCACGATTTGTTGCAGCTCGCCAGCCTCATGCCCAGGATCGTGCCCCGCTGGGGGTCGCCCTGGCCGCGGGCCCCCCGCGCCCAGAGCAGCACTGGCAGCACCAGCGCCGCCAGGAGGAGGCGCCCTCGGGCCGGCCCGCCACCCGGGCGCCCGTCCCCGCCCGCCGGCGCCATGTTGCTCAGGCACGGCCGCCGCCGCTCCCCGCGCCAGCCCGCTACCACCAACACTCTTGCCACTCCGCCGCCGCCAAGCCAACTGCCCAAGCCGCTGGCTTTACGTCAGGTCAGCTCCCCGCCCCGCCCCGTCCCGCCGACACACGCCTTCATTAGCATGGGATGCCCCGCCCCGGGCGCGCGGCTCCAGCGCCCGCCCTTAAGGAAGTACGGCGCTTAAGGTGGCTCGGCGCCCGAGCGCGGGAGCTGCGGGCAAGCTCCCGCCCCGCCCTCCTCCTGGCCCGCCCCTGTCCCCCGGCTTTTACGCCGGTAGGGCGTCTGCGTCGTCTGACCGGACCATTTCTCTTCCGCAGCCCAGCCGGGCCACGTGTGCTGGCCTCATTCCTAGCCCTGCAGTCTGCGCCTTCGGGGCGGGGAGCGGGGCTGGGGAACTGACCTTTCTCTACAGTTACCTCGGAAGCAGCACCATGTTATACTCGGGCGAGAAAAATGCTTTATCTGATATAAGAGAAGAAATAGGGAATATAAGGGCTTAGGCCTGAGGAAGGCCTTCAAGTCCACGGGCTTTGCAGCCTGCACGTGGGGACTTTTCTGGCCTCCACACTAATGGGGTTTTTGCTGATCTTGTCCCACGGCCAAGTAGGTCCTCCTCCTCCAGCCCCATCTCTAGCGGCTCCCTGGTGTGGAGGGGACTCGGGAACCGAGGATACAAAATGTACCTACTAATCGAAGGGCCAGGGTCAGGCCGAAGCTTATCTCGTGTCATTTACATTAAGGACGAAAATATTGAGCACCTGCTGTGTGTCAGGCAATTGTTCCAGGCCCTGACAATATAGCAAAAATCCCTGCCCACTGGAGTTTACACTCTAGAGCAGAACACAGGCAATAAAGTAAACACATTCATAAAATTTATATAATCCTCTGAACAACCCCAGAAAGTTTTGTTATTTTCCTATTAGAGATGAAGCAATTGAGTCTAGTCACAAATCAGAGTCTTCCCAGACTGTCATCTGAAGAGCAAGCTTGTGTGCCTTTGCTAAGGCCTGTTGGGTGTCTCTCCTCAGTCCTGCTTTCTACATCCCTTAAAATGAGGGTTCGAACGGTAGTACAGCACCATTTCACTGAGATTAACTATGCATTGAACATGTTCTTTGGCTGCCAGTGTTCTTTGCCTACGTAGCTATTATTGCCTTTCTGGACCAAACCCTTAACCCCAAATTGTGGTGGTGACTGACCAGCTGGGGCAGCCGCATGTGGAAGTGAGCTGAGAGGCGCCATGCCAGACCTGGCCCAGAAATGACTGCTTCTGGCACAGCCCTGCTTCCATGTCAGTCGGCAACTATGAATTGAGTGCCAAGGACTCAGGGCATGTGGGGAAAACTGTAGCTGCTGGCCCTATTGGGGGAGGGAGACAGACAAACATTTTTATAGAAATTGCAGAGGTGCATCTAAGGGAGGATCAGGTATCAGGTTGACCACTGAGTCTTGGGACAAGTTTTTTCCCAGCCCTGGAGACACAGAATCCATTTCACTCTCTTCCTGCACAAATACTTGTGTTTATTTTCATTGGTATACTTTTGCCAATAAAAGCAACAATCAACACAGGACAGAGTCTAAACAGAGAGGAACAATCATAGTGTTATGGGAGGAGGCATGGTGGCAGAGAGCTGATTAATTAAGCACTGTGAGAGGGGAAGAGAGCTCTGCTTAATCGCCAACCTGAAGCCGTCCCTTGCAGGCAGGTGCCACATTTCATAATTCAGGCAATAGGAGCTTTGGGATGATCACTGGCCCAGACAGAACAAAAGCAGAAAGTAGAAACTTTGGCTGTTCCTTCCCATCTCCAGTGGCCTGGATGGACCACCTGCATTACCTTAGAGCAAGCCCAGCTCTCAGAGAAGCTCTGGTCTTTCCAGCTAGTGTTAGGACTAATGCCCACCCCCGTGGTACTTAAAGATTTTCCCGTTCTATCATCCACCATCAGCTGTTTTTATTTCGCCCTTTATAGACTGTTGGCACTCCAAAGCTCTCAGCATATGCAACGACTCCAATGACAAGCCAACAAAGGAAAGGAAAAAAAAATCCACTCTTGAGATACTTCATTACAAGTGGGAAGGGTGGTGAGCTTCTGGCAGGAAAAAAATCAGTCTCTGCTGAAGTTCATTTCATCACACACGTCCATGATTACATTCACCTCTGTGATTAAGTGAATAGAGCAGATTCAACAAAGAAATGAAATTCCTCTTTGACCTCCCAGCACCTGCGATCTACAGGAAGAGGCAAGGCTCCCTAGATATAAGTTAAATGCAGCATAACTGGGAAGCGTGGAGGAGATACTGAGGCCCAGACTGGAGTCCAGGTGGGCTTTCACCCTTGGTTAGTAAAAACCTTCTCCCGCAGAGCAGTGACATACAGATGGTGTGCTACTTATGTGAAGGGTCAGGATGCCTGGATAAATGTGTGGTTCCTCGGGGTGGAAGCCCTTACTCTCACCTGAATAGCCTCCATTTGCAAGTCAGGAGTTTGGGGAATGATATCTGATACCTGATGTCTGAGCACCTCAAAGCACTCCATTCCAGACATTTTGACCTGACAGGTTCCTTCCATGCCCTGTGACAGCAGGGCTACACTTCCCACAGTTGAGCCCTCTCCTTTCGAATCCCGTGCAGGAGATACTCTTATAGATTAATTGCTCCTTTGGTAATTGGCATAGTGTGAAGAGGTCCTGAATTAGTAACTGGAATCTCCTGCTCTATTCCCTGGCCTGCAGTCCTCCCAGGCTGGATTCTTAGCCTTCTTCAACCTCTGGGTCTGCAAGATGTGGGGCTGCTTGCAGAGGAGTTGCCAGTCTGCTGGTGCAGCCCAGAGCCTGCCATGGCCCTTCACTGGGCAGATGCCTTGGGCCTTGGGGTATGAGAGCCTGCTTGGAAGGCAATGGGACACGTTTCAGGGTGAGGCATGGGCCATTATGGATACATGGGGTGGCCTGTTCACCAGCTGGCTGTAAGTCTCCAGTGACCCTGAGCATTTGCAGGACATATCCATGCTGTTAAATTGTCTCAGGAGGGATGGGGCAATCATCGGTCCACAGAGGGTCAGAGTAAGCCTGGGCTCAGCTGGGATGGACGTCTTGGCTCAAATCCAACTCAGGTCACAACAAGTGGGGACATGAGGATCTGGTGTCATGGTTTCTACCTGAGGGAGACTTATAGTAAGCCAGAGAAGGGGACGAAAACAGCAATTCAGTGGATCCAGGCCAACAGAAGGATGTGCCTCTGAATCGAATGCTGAAGCTGCATAGGAGCAGAAGCGTCTGGATGAACTGGGTAGGCTTCAAGGTTCCCATGCCGTAGGACATACTGTTCTCCTTTGGGACAGAACCACAGGAGGCAGGATGCTGCACCAAGGGGCTTCAGGTACAGCTCTGGAGGCACATTGGGGGCTGGTTTGGCCACAGCTTGTCTGTGTGACCTGGGACTCTGGGACATTCCTAAATGCTAAATGAGGGACATTCCTAAATGCTAAATGAGATGATGCCTGGCTTGGGTAAGAGCTCAGTAAACATGATTGGTAACCATGATGATGGTGAAAATGATGTGGCCACAATTTTTAGAGGACCCTCTCTAATTTCCTCAGTTCCATTGTGTCGCTCCATCCAACTCCAGCCAGTTTTCTTGTTCTTTCCTTTCCTCCAGAGGGAGAAAATCAGCAGAGGATGCGGAGGGAAGAATGGAATCTGAGGGGAGACCACTGAGGACTAAACAAGATCACATCTGGCCCCCTTGGACCTCTGTAATGAGAGAAGAGAGGAGGCTGGGGCAAAAGTGTACAGGTGAGGCAGGAGGGAACTTCACAGCCCAGAGAGTCCCAGGCTGCACAGGCTGGGAGAGAGGGAGGTTCCTCCCTCGGGCTGGAGAGACTGGTGACCCCCAGCCCCTGCTCACACCAGAGCCCCTGTGCTGAGCCCCAGACAGCCCCGGAGTTGAGGGGCCCAGTGGACTCAGGACTCCTGCTTTCTCCTCTGCTTCTCTGCTTCCCTCCTCCTCAGCTCACTGGAGCAGCCCCATCCCCAGGACTGGCTACCCCAGCAGGTTTTTCTTCTGCCTCACCAAACACAGGCTCTTTTTAATTTTGACAGTTAATCACAGAGAAAAACAAGGAAGAGCAAGATAATAAAGACTGAGTATTTATTAAAGCTTAAGAACAAAGTTCTTGGAGTCATTGTCCCTAGTTTCTGACCTTTTTTCTCAGGTGACTGGAAAAAGGGCCTAGCAGAAATGCCCTGGGCTCCAGTTGGTTTCTTTTCTTTCCCCCAGCTAGGACTTTCACTTTACATTTCGTTCCTTTATTCATTTGAGTATTTTTATATTTTTATGGGGCTTTTAAAGTTGCCAGTTACACGTGTTCATTGCAACGAATTCAAATAACGCAGTATATAAAGTACAAAATGGAAGTTTCCCTACCTCCCCATTCGGCCCAGGGATTGTTTTTCTGTAAAGTATTACACCTCCCTCTGCCCTCTTCGTTTTCCTCTCTTCCCTGCTCTGAGGGCCTGGATGCTATTTCCTCCTGGGCTTGGAGTCCCTCAAGGGCAAAAACTGTGTCTTAGTGTCTCTGTATCCAGAGTGCTAGGCCTTTCATATGCATTTGTAGAATGAACTAGATTTCCATTATAAAGGGATAGGAATAATACCGGTAAGAGCCAGGGATAGGAAATGAAGAGGAAGTATTTAGTCAGTAGCTTAATATACACAATTACAACTGAGAAAACTATTTTATGACACTTTACCCCCTGATATATCTTCTCTTTTTTTTTCTTTTTTAAATCTGATGCTGACTCAACTAAATCGATTTTTTCACTAATCCTCAAATTGAAAAATACTGGTCTCAAACACTGCCCATGGGTGTCCGCTGGCATTCCCTTTGGCGGAAGCCTGTGGGGACTAGTAGTAGTTAGAATGCTCTCTGTGTAAGTGACACCCACGCTCGCAAGGTCTGGTATGATCCACTTGTGGCAATAAATCACTCCAGGAAGATCAGTGAGGCAAGTTCCCAATTTCCAAATCTTATCTCCCAGCCCTACCCAGAAAGGGAGACAGCCTCTTTGAGAGCTTCATTCCCAAATGTCCAGATTTCTGTAGGTTTGCCCCAAACAACTGCCAAGGCACCAAAGAGCTGTAAAGGCTTCAGCAACCAGCTCATCTTGCTGGACCTCAGGCCCTTTAATTTTAACAGGAGGAGACTGCATCAGAAAATCAGGTTCTAGCCTCATGTAAGTTCCTTAATGTATAACTTTCTGGGCAACCAAGGGAGGAGGGTAAAATCAAGATCAGCAAGATCAAATGTAATGGGCATCTTTTTTTCTGACCTGTCCCCTTCTCCTGGGAATGGTGGCTTAATATACACAACTATAACTGAGAAAACTATTTTGTGAGACTGTATTTACCGCCTGATATACTTCTGCCTTTTTTTTTTTTTTAATCTGATCTTGACTCAACTAAACTGATTTTTTCACTGTCTCAAATCCCCTGGGGACCTGTCCCACCTCCATTTCCATGGGTCCTAGTGGGGATGGGCAACTGGTCAGGCCTGGATACAATACCTTGGGCCACAACAATTGACCTAGGCTGGGCAGGACACCAAGATGGGCCAATCAGGAGTCTGACCCAGGCTTTTATAAGGGGGGAGGATCCCTAAAAGGAGACTATAGAAGCCTCAAGCTGTCTACTGCTATGTCCTTTCTCCCTGCTGACCACAGTACTTCTGTTTAGCCTTACCATAGCCCAGAGGTTGTTACTATTATTAGTTTCCTTTACAGATGAGCAAAGGGAAACTTGGAAAGCTTAAGAAACCTGCTTGGGATCACCCAAAAACAGATTTTGATGCTGTTCAGACCTGTTTTGCTACCAAACCTTCTTAACCCCCACATAGTGCTGCCCCTCTGAGGGATAGAGTTACAGGAACAGAATTGTAATCGGTTGAGGAATCTCGACTCAGTGGGGCCACAACATGACATGGTTGTATTTGCTTTCTTATCAAGGTTTTTAACCAGTTTCTGTCAAATTTCCTTTTTCCTTTCCTTCTCAAAGTCTTGGGTAGACCCCACAGCTCCAATGTGACTTTCGGTATTAAAAGTCCAATCAGATCCATTAAAGACTAACTTCTCATTTCTGATTTATATTAACTGCACTCCTCCCGATCATTCAGGCTTGGGGTTCAGTTAGGAGAGAGGTTTTGTGTGTGTGTGTGTGTGTGTGTGTGTGTGTGTGTGTGTGTGTGTGTGTGTCTGTCTGGCACAGAATGTGGGGCTCATGTGTTGGTTCTGGGATACTTCTGTCTTCCTTTTCAGGGTCTAACTTTTCCACTGTTGGGGTTTGCCAAGAGTAAGAGGAGGAAATGGGTAATTTCTCTTCATCTCCCACAGTGTGAACCCCTGTCTTTGTGGCTGCTGCTGCTTGAGTGAATGTGGCTTGTGTCCAGTTACTGGTTCCTTGCAATGGGAGGTTCAGCTCAGCCTCTGCTGGGACTCCCTACCCCCAGCTGTTGGGACACCTTTTACCTGTCAGGCAGCTTCTCCTGGGTGAGTCCACCCAATGGTTGCAATATAGACCACCCACTGCTGACCCTCGCTAGGCCCCAGGGTTCTCTCCAGTTCTCTCTTCCCTTTGCTCTCTGAGTCCTGGGCAGAACAGCAAGCCTGCTGCTCAGTCTGATCCTGGTATAAGATGCCAGTCTCCCTTCTTACAGGAGCCCCAAATTTTTTTAGAGGATCTCCTTCACTTGATTTTGAGAGATATGTTAGTTACCTATTACTGCATAGGAATTAAGAAGCAGTTTAGCTGGGTGGTTCTGGGCCAGAGATTCTCATGAATTGAAGTCAAGAAGTTGGCTGGAGCTTCAGGAATCTGAAGGCTTGCCTTGGGCTGGGAGATCCACTTCCAGGCTCACTCACATGGCAGTTGGGAGGAGACCTTAGTTCTTTGTCATGTAGGCCTGTCGCATGGGTCACTGGCAAAGTCAGCTATGCCCAGAATAAGTGATCCAAGAGAAAGACCAAGATGGAAACAACAATGTCGTTTATGACCTAGCCTTAGATATGACATATGACCACATCTTTCATATTCTATTGATCATATGGATCAAAACTGATACACCGTTGGGAGGACACTATGCATGAGCATAATAGCAGGTGGCAGGGATCGCTAGGGGCCATTTGGAGGCTAGCTGTCATGATAGGAGGTGAAGGAAAATCTTCTCTACTGAACACTGACAAACTGACAAGCTTCTCACCCTCACCCCCTGATGCCCGGGTTCTTGTTCACAAAGCCGAAGAATGAGCTTCACAAACCCTCAAGGTAGGAGAGCAAGGTACAGGCCTTTATTTAGAGATAAGGTGACAGGACAGAGCTCCCAGCTCACGCCAGGAAGGGACAAGAGAGTCTGGGGTGGTGCATTGTCTAGGGGGTTTTATAGGCAGTTGAGGATTTTTGAGAACATGAAAAAAACTTAGGGGTGTGGACTTATTAAGTGGTCCCTGAATATTTGGAATTAACACCAGTAACTTCCTGCTCTGATGATTTCTTCCTGAGATACCAGAATCTTGGTCTTGGGGGCAAATGAAACAAGGCTACCTGCTCAGCCCCCAAGGTGGGCTGAGGTATTGTTTTCTAAAGAGTAAGTTAAGAATTTCTAACGTCTTAACTTCTTGGGTATTAAAATGCAGTCTTATCTTTAAGGCGGAATCCTTCTTGCCTTTTACTGTGTTGTTTATGCCTGGGCTTACTTGCTAAATTAGTTGCCCAGTTTGCAAAATCACCTCACCAGATCCGAATGAGGAAAGACAGCAGATAGGTCTGGGCCTTTTAGCATGCTAAGGTGAATCTTACACATGATTATAAATGATTAGCATAATAAAAACGTGCTACTCTTCTTTATCTGGGGTATATTAACTGATCTCACTGAAGAATGACTCTAGAGCTGAATGTTTAACACAAGAGTTTTAGTAGGGGGTTTCCTTGCATGTAGTTACATTGCTCTGACTGCAACTATCCTGCCTTGCTTTTTCTGGAGGCCCTCACCCTACTCTGACTACACCCATGGTCCCTGTTTCACCCCAACAGCTTTTCTTAAAGATTGGGAATTTGGTCTACTGGGGTGATGGTACTCCTGTCTGCTTAGGTGTCCAATAGACACATAAATCTAGTATCATCAAATTATAATGTTAATCTTTCCTCCAAAGGAAGGAATTATTATTTCCCATCACTTCCCTTTTTTCTGTCCCAGCTGCTCTGGCCAAAAATCTTGGAGTCATCCTTTATTGCTCTTCTACCTCAGCTGATATCCATCAGCAAATCTTGTTGGCTATATCTTGAAAATACATCTAAAATCTGGCTACCTCTCCCCACTTCTGCTGCATTTCAAGTCGCCGTTTTCATTCACTGAGAAACGTTGAAACCAAGGGACATTATGAAAGTCATCATGATAGAAAATGGAAATCTTTATTATAAAATAGTCATGCATGAGTCTAGTCATTTAAAAAAATGCCAAGTGGAATTTGATTTAAAGAAATACAACCACATTTTTGCAATTGGCCTCCTTAATCATTAATCTCAGTTTTTATCCATCAGTGTTTAGTCTTACCTTGACGTGATTCCCTTATACCCCCACAGGTCCAACAGTCCTCAATCTGACTTTTAGAAGTAGCCATCACAAGGCTGGCTCAGGACTTTGGGCCAGGTCAACTCTCAAAGCCCAGGATGGCTTCCCTAGGCCCTGAGGCTTCTGATCGTCCTGAGGAGACTGCCCTTCCATGCAGTGATGGGCTCTACCTGC